GGCCTTTCGTCGTCATTCACTGCCAGACATGTCTGCAAGCGTGTACGTATATACACATGAAGCCGTAGCCGTTGGCTTACTTTTTTCGGCGCCCGCATACACCACATCCCCATTCCTTGGTGCGGCGCAACCGAAATTCTTCGCCGTCCCCCGACGGCGCCATCTCTTTCCTTCCTCCTGCTTCTCCTCTGGGTCTTCCTTCTCCTGCTCCTGCTCCTGCTCCTGCTCCTCCTCCTCGTCCTCCTCCTTCTCCTCCTCCTCCTCCTCTTCTTTCTGCCGCTCCAAATCCGCTTCCCTCCCCTCGCTCCCCGAGATTCCCTCCCTCCCTTCCTTCGCCCTCCACCCGGCGCCTTTCGGGAGCCCCCGGAGGCCCGGGAAGGGCCACGGACCCTGGGCACGAGGCTGGGGGGCCCGGGACGGGGCCTTCGACAGCGCATAGCAGGACGGGGGGCCCCGCAGGGCCCTGCCGGGGCGCCGGGGGCTGTCTAAGATCGCCCGAAGACGGCCCCAGATCGCCAGAAACTGCGTTTCCAGATTGCGAAAACGACCAATGACGGCCCGAGATCACCCCAGCATAAACCCTTGAGGCTTCCAAGATGCTTCCCGAGGAACCCCAGAAGACACAAATTATTAACTTCCTGTGGTTTTTGAGCGGATTTTCGAGTTCTCGCCTTTCCAATTTCCCGACGCTCCTCGACGGCCCAAGGGGCTCCAATGTCCGCTCAAAGACAACCCCAGATGCTTCGAAGACGGCCACAAGACAGCCCAAGAGGGCCGCAAGACGGTGCCGGAGGCGCCCAAGACGGCCAAGAGGGGCCCGAGAGTGGCAACACGAGCCGAAAATCCGAGCCTTACACCCCGAGAGGCTCGCAGGAGGCCCCAAGAGGCCCCAACAGGTCTCAAGAGGCCCCCAAGCAGGTTGCCGATAGGCCGAAGAGGTTCCAAGAGGCCTCCCACGAAGGCTCCAAGAGACAACAAGCGTTGTTTTCCCATAGGTTTTGGATGGTGTTTCGGTCTCAGCCTTTTGGCATCCCGACTCTCCAAGACGATTTTAATAGCTTCAAAGACCGCTCCAAGATAGCCGAAGAGGCCTCCAAGAGGGCCCCAAGACGGCCCCAAGAGGGGCCCAAGAGGGGCAGCACGAACCGAAAATCCTAGCCTTCCACCGCGAGAGCCTCTCAGGAGACTCCAAGAGGCCCCCTAATAGGATTTAAGAGACCCCGAAGAAGTCCCCAAGAGGGCCGAAGAGGTTCCAAGAGGCCTCCCACGAAGGCTTCCAGAGGCAACAAATATTGTTTTCCGATCGGAGTTTGACCAATTAAAAAGTTGTCAGCCTTTCGGCATCCCGATGCTCCAAGACGGCCCAAGAGGCCTCCAATACAGTTCCAAGATAGACGAAGAGGCCTCCAAGAGGGCCCCAAGACGGGCTGCCTGAGACGCCCAAGACCGCCCGAGAGGGCCCCAAGACGGCCCCAAGAGAGGCTCAAGAAGGGGAACGCGAACCCAACAGCAGAGCCTCCCCCCAAAAAGACCCACACGAGACCCCAAGGGGCCCAAGTGGTCCGACGAGGCCACCCAAAAGCTCCCAAGAGTCCCCCAAAAGGCCCCTGGGAGACGCACAAGAGGCCCCAAGATAGCCTAAGAGCGCCTTCGATGCATCAAAACTGCCTCCAGGAGGCACCCGTGAGGCTTCCGGATTGCCTCAATGTGGCCCCATGTGGCCTCCAGTCGGGCCTCCACGCAGCCAAGACGGCTGATGGCGGTTTCAAATTGCAGAGCATCACCTTCCAAGTGCCTTGAGAACCCCGACGATGCCCCCAAGGGACTCCAAGAAGCCCCAAGACGCCCCCCCAAGAAGCACCCAAGAGGTGCATCCAACAGCCAATTGGGGAAGCGCGGAGAGCCCCCAGAAGTGCCTCGGATGCCCCCACGAAGATCCAAGAGGTCCCCGGCCCGCAGGAGGCACGACTATGTCACGCGCCTGTGCTTGATGGCGCTGTTCAAGACCTTCCAGCGCCTCCCCGACCTCGGCTAGAACCTGAGCGCGCGCGAAGCGCGCAATGATTCGAGTATGCTTATGTATGCACACACATCTGTAACAATGGTTTGCAACATGGTTTGTCAACACAGTCTGCGCGCCCGCTCTTGCGAATTCGAAAGAAACCCCTGGTGGCGTTTCAACAATTGTACCAAGTGCAACCAAGCGGGCCTCTCGCGAGCGCATGTCGAAATCATTCGGACGCCCGTTGCGCGCGTGTTGGGGGGGCATGGCCCCTGTCCAGTAGTACCATGCGGCGCCATGCGGGCCACTCGCGAGCGTCGGCCACGCGCGCATGTCGAATTTGTTCCAAAACCTTCATCACCGACACGTGGACATCATCATTGTCATCGGCGTGTTCAGCATCGGTGCCGTCATTGGCCTTGCCGTCGTCATTGTCACCATCGTCACCAGCATCGCTATTGTCATTATCGTGTCTGCCGTTGTCGACGTCGCAATGATACCGCACACGCCCGAGCCACCGACTCGCACTGAAGTGCCTGCGCGTCAGCACGGTCTGCGAGACGCGCTGGGAAGTGCCCAGAGGTCAGCGCCACCGCCGCCGCGTTGGTCGCGCCAGACTAACTGGCCGCTGTGCGAGCGAGCTTGCGCGCGCTACCGCGGCCGCAGTGAGCCAGCCAGCACCAAGCAGTCACCGCAATCGCCGCCGCATGGGTTTTGCAAACCAAGTGGCGGGTGGGTTGGTGGAATGACTGACTGTGCGAGCCGTGGAGATGACAATTCACTGCGCACGAAGATAACTTGCACCACGTATATTGCATAGCACACATTACACAGCACGCAGTGCAAAACAATGGTTGCACCACATGTATTGCTAAGCCTTCATCACACCACGCATATTGCACCACGTCGATTGCACCGCGTAGAGTACATAACCTATAGTGCACCACATCGGTTGCATCACATATATTCTACTGCGACACATCGAGCGCACTACATATCCGTAAGGGCTTCGCCCCCTGCCGCCGGCCCCCTCTCTATCAGAATGGGATACATCAGAGCTATATTGGGATGTTCGGGCGCCGTCTTGATGGCATTCGGGAACGTCATGCTAGGGCGGCTGGCGATGAGCAAAACAGATTGAGATGTTGAAGTTGTTGTTGAACGCTTTATTGCCTTCTTGGCATTTCCCTCCAGCTGTTCACCGGGAGCGCTCTGGAAACGGCTGGGGATTGCTTCAGGCAATCTCTGGGAAGGTTTTTTTCTGCCCTGGAGAAGGAGTGGCGCCTTTGGGCAGCTTCCGCGAGGTGGGTTCGTAGCGTGGGGGGTGCGCGCGAATTTTGTGAATTTTGCTGGGGGTCTTGGCCTCGGGGACGCGAGCGTGGCGTAATTTACAAGGGATCGTGGCCTGGGGGGCGCGACCGCGGCGTAATTTACAAGGGATCGTTGCCTCGGGGGCGCGAATGTGGTGTAATTCGCACGGGATCGTGGCCTCGGGGGCGCAAATGCGTAGCTTACGAGGGATCGTGGCCTGGGGTGGTGAATGTGGAACCCACCGCCGAATGTTCCAGAAACGGGGGGAGCAAAATAATACCAGCGGAGCACATATCCCAATACAGAAAATTGCCGTTCTTCTGTTTTGGAGAGGGGGAGCGCCTTTTCGGCAGCCTCCGCGAGGCGGATTCGCGGCCTGGGGGGCGCGCCCGCTGCTTAATTTACGAGGGATCGTGGTGTCAGGGGCGCGAATTTGTTGTATTTTTCAATGGATCGTGGCCTCGGGGGCGCGAGAATGATATAAACGGGGGCGCGACTGTGGCGTAAATTACAAGTGGTCGTGGCCTCGAGGGCGCGAGGGCGGATAAATTTACTTGGGATCGTGGCTTCGGAGACGCAATTGCGGCGTAAATTACAAGGGATCGTGGCCTCGGAGACGCGAGCGCGGCGTAGATTACGAGGGGTCGTGGCCTCGGGGGCGCGAATACAGTGTAATCTGCGAGGGATTATGGCTTCGGGGGCACGAAACTCATGTATTTTTACGTGTCCCACGCCCCCCCAGAAATTCTGAGAACCTTCCCGGGGGAAGCTAACCAGGGCCCGTTTCGGTTCCCCCCCTCGCGCGGACAGAAACAATTTACAGTAGGAAGCAGAGAGCAGTACTGTAACGATGGAAACTGGAAACTGGAGCTGGTGCAGGGAGCAGCAACCTTAATCCTCGCAGCCTGATGGCCCCGCAAGGGGGCCGGCGGATTATATAAATTGCTCCACATAGATGGCACCACAGAGACCGAATCAAATTGCATAACATAGAAGGCACAAACATAGATTGCACAACACAGGATGCACTACACTGGTTGCTAGAAGCACACTGTTTGGTGTACGCGTTGGCTAACGTTGTTGCTCACGGCCCAAACCTCCGACAACGTCATGTGTTTAATCCTTGCGTGTTTCCTTCAGGTTGGTCTCTGGGGGTCGGTCTCGGGCCCCGCGGGGCCATCGAACATGGATCTGAGACGCAAAGCTGCAAACGCGCACTTGGGGAAAGGGTTGGGAGACCTGGGGCTGCAGACGTGCGAACTAATATCTGAGTAATTATGCTCCATTTTCTGTTCGCGGCCGGCCGACTTGCAAGGTTCACAGGCCGAGTCAGGGGTGTGATATGAGAGTCCAGGGGAGGTAGGACTGCCTGGCGACCGAGGGAGAACAGCGAGCAGAAAGGAATGGCGTCATGATTTTTCCACAATGTGACCCCCCAGAGGTCAAGGCCCCTTCCCCGGGATCAGTTTTTTTCATCTCGAGTCGTTGTTTGACGGTTCCGGGGCCCCAGAGGCCGAAAACGGTCCAAACCGCCCGTCTGGATTCTGTTACAAAGAGAGAGGGGATATGGGGGGAGAGAACGGGGGAGGGGGGGGGGGGCGCCGCGCGCGCGCCCGCCCGCTCTCCCCTCCTCTCGCAAGCTCCCGCCCGCGCGCCCGCCAACTCAGACCTGTTGCACCGCCCCGAGGTCGTCTGGGTGACCGTCCGCCCTGAGTCCCGCATCATCCGGGAGGCGGGGACACAGCGGGGGGGGTCGCCGCTCAGCCTCGGGCTCCCGCGCGCGCGCGTGGGGGGGGGAGTCCTCCCTCCTCCTGCCCCCCCCCATCACTCCTCCCCCCTCCTCCTCCTCTTCCTCCTCCTTCTCCTGCCTCCCCCCTCCCTCCTCTACCACGCTACGCATCTACCACAGAGAATGCTCCAATGCGCAGGGTGCAATGCTAAATTTAAAGGGGGGGGAGAGGAAGGGGGGGAGGTGGATCAGCCGGGTCTAAAGTCGGCCCCGAATTGATTCCACCCGTGCCCGTCGAAAAACGGGTCCAGCGGAACATAGAAGGCCGCCATCGCTTGTTTTGGAGAGGGGCTCCCCGCCGCCTCGTCCAGAGGGTGAACAGTGTGAGCTCAACTATAACACACACACACAAACACAGCCGAGGCAAGGAGGGAGAAGAGCGGGGGCGGATATTGCATTGCAGCAACAGTGCGAACATTGCCGTCGTCGCGTTTACCCGTCAACACACTGTGGGATCGGCGGCCGTGGTTGCACTTGCCGTGAGACGGGGAGGAAGCCACCAAAGTGCGAAGTTGGGGCACATGAATGGCCAGAAAGACGGTGGGTTTAGCATGCTGGCCCCATACATTCTGATCGAACCACACTTGGTCGATCGTCTCGAGGCCAGCCAGGGATCTACAATTAGCGACCTCGGGAAAGTACCAAGAAGAGGGGGTTCTCAGGGTCACGGGGCGGGGCTGGGTGCCCAAGGATCCCCGCGGCTCTCGAGAATAAGTATTCATGCGTAAGTAGTAAGGCTGTCCTGTTCAAAGCATTCTCGCGTTCTAGCTGCTTGAATTCGTTTGGGTGTGTTTGCTTGGTTCTCCTGAGGCTCATGATAGAGCGAATCACTCGAGGACCTCTCCAATCCTCGAGCGCATGCCTTCGGGCAGCCGACCAAGTTTCACACGGGGGCCCGCAGATGAAAGCGATAACTCTACGGCTGCAAACTAAGGCTGGGAATACATTCACATACTCGGCTTTGGTTAAATTGCCTCGGTCAGGGTCACTCTGAACATCTTTCGAGAGAAATAGCACGATAAAGCCCCGGCTTAAATCGCCTCCTCCTCCTCCTTCTCCTCCTCTTCCTCGTCATGATCATCGTCAGCATCATCATCAGCATCGTCATCAGCATCGTCATCATCATCAGCATCGCCATAATCATCATCATCATCATCATCACCATCATCATCATCAACATCATCATCATCATCATCGTCATCATCTTCGTCATCATAATCGTCATCATCGTCAGTAACAGCATCATCATCTTCAACATCATCATCAGTATCATCATCATCATCATCATCATCATCATCATCATCAGCATCATCATCATCAGCATCATCAGCATCAGCATCATCAGCATCAGCATCATCAGCATCATCAGCATCATCATCAGCCTCCTCATTATCCTCCTCCTCCTGCTCTTCCTCCTCCTCCTCCTCCTCCTCCTCCTCCTCCTAGTTGATGCTCTGCCTCCTCCTCCTCCTTCTTCTCTTCCTCCTCCTCCTCCTCCTCCACCTCCTCATCCGCCTCCTCCTCCTCATCCGCCTCCTCCTCCTCCTCCTCCTCCTCCTCCTCCTCCTCTTGGAGAGCATCGAATAACAAAAACGGTACAAGCATAAATTGTCGGAGGTCCGCCCGGATGCCTTGGATCGGCATTGGGACCCCCTTGCGGCACCTCTGGCCTCCCCCGCTGGCACGCTCCACGGGGGGGATGAAATCAGCCTCGAGCTGACCCCTATACCTAGGATTGTCAGACCCAAGGCGACGAACATCTGAGGGATGGAGTAGCTTCAGAAACTGGAGGGGTTCTTGGGATCGGCCTCGAGATGAGGCAGCGCCAATCTTAAGAGCGGGGGGTAAGGATACATGCTCCAGGCTGGTGCGGAAGAGAGGAGGAGGAGGAGGAGGAGGAGGAGGAGGAGGAGGAGGAGGAGGAGGAGGAGGAGGAGGAGGACGAGGAGGAGGAGGAGGAGGGAGGAGAAGGAGGAGGAGGAGGAGGAGGAGGAGGGGCCCAGCGTCCATCCGAGAGATCCGCACGGAGCTCCAAGAGCCTCTTCTGTGGCGGCCAGCTCTGCGGAGACCTGGGCGCCCGTCGCGGCCCTCTGCGAGCATAGGCGCCTCGCCAGGAAGCGCTTAGGCCCTCCTCCTGGAAAGGAATCGCATCCAGCGGCCGAGCGAGATCAGAAGGGGAGGCTGCCACGAAATCGCACAAAAATATGAGTCGTGGATGTTCTCGGCCTCTTTGAGCCCTCTGGGGGGTCCCAAGGGGCCCTTCCGGGCGGTCTTCGAAGCTTCTCGGGCGCTCTTGGGGCGACCGTAAGCCTGAATCATGGGCTGCCTTGGATCGATCTGTGGAGGCGCGTCGGAGGCATATTGGAGCCAACGTTCAGCATCGTTTAACCCACCCCTATCCCCATCCCCATCGAGACCCCCGCCATCCCGCCACCCCAGTTGGGGATATACCCCTCGAAACCCGAGGGGAACGGTCTACACCCCCCCCTGGGGGGGGGGGGGCAGAAATCAGCCAGTGGGGATTGGGGTCGGTCACACGATGCTCCATGTTGGAGCCAACGCGGCCGTTTCGGAGGCCTCCGAGGGGCACGCGCGCCGTGCCGCCGTGGCCGCCTCGCCTCGGTGGGCCGCCTCCGGCGCGCCCTGCCCGCACGGCGGCCCCGCGGGGAGCAGAGGCCTGCGCAAGGAGCGGGAATGTCGTACCCCGACGGGGCGGAGGGCCGACGGGGCGGATGGCCGCCGCGGTCATCCGCCCCGTCACGGTCGGGGTGCGATGTCCTCGGGGGGCCTCATGGCCCCGTGCCCGGCCACGAAGCGGCTGCGGGAGGTGGCCCGCCTGAGAGGGGACGGCAGGATCTTCGCGAGCCAGTCGCTGCACAGGCCTCGATTCGCTCAGCGTGTTCGCGTCGGCTCGACCGCGATCGGCGTCGGACCGCGAGCGGGCCGAGGGATCCTGGGAGCAGGGCAGGGGCCAGGGCGGCCAGGGCCAGAATGGGCTGGGGATCGGGCAACACAAGATCGGACAGACCAGCCCGTCTCGTTGGCTCAAGCGGCTGGGTCCGCGACGTGAGCCTAGCGGGCGTGTCCGTTAGGGAAGCAACGCTCCAGGTTCTGCCCCAGCTCGAAGAGGCGCGGCTGGGGCTCGCTCAGAGCAGCACCCCGCATAGCCAGCTGGACGCGATCTCTGTGCGAAAGTCTGTCCAAGAATGGGAGCCGCTGGAGGTCCTGAGCAACGTTGGTGAACATGGCGCTCCAGTCCTGCAACAGGGGGGGGGAGATGATGAGGGCGAGGGGGCGGCACAGGAGGATGCCCTGAAGAGGCGATGGCGATTCGCAGAGGAAGGAGGCCCAGGAGGAGGTCCTGAGCAGGGAATGGGAATGAGGAGCACCCGGGCGGCGTGCAACAGCCGTTCCAACGCGGCAGCAAGGGCGCTCGGCTTTTGCACAGTTTCAGAGGTTCGAGGCTCGAGGTCTTCGGACATCTTCGTCGGCTTTCGGCGGCTTTTCCGGCCTCGGGATGCCTTCCAGCAGCTGCGCCTGGCTGAGGGCGTACAGAGGGTGCGCTGATCGTCCCGAACGGCCGCCAGAGAGCCGCCAGGGGCAACGTTAAGGGTGGGATCGGCTCAGGGGGAGGGACGCATCGACCCCAAGTCGCCCCTTGATCACCGCCAGGGGCCCGATAGCCCGCCCCGCCCATGACCGTGCGGAGTCGCCATCGGGGGCCCACCATCACCGATCTGTCGGCGATGCATCGCCGATTCCAGGTCGACGCTTCCCCTCCCTGAGCCAGTCTCCTCCAATCGTTCCCCGATCACACTCCGCCGCCGATCGGTGCCCATGAGCCAGTCCCCCCCCTCCCCCTGTCGTTTGCCCTCCTGAGCTGGCCACCTCCCTGACGTTAGGCCTCGGCACAGGCACGGCCCCAGACCCAGGCCCCCCTCCTGGGGCCACGAGGCCGCCCGCGCGGAGGGCGCGGGTTTCTGCTCCGCGCGGGGCTCTCCTCCTCTTCCTCCTCCTCCTCCTCCTCCTCAGCCGTCCTGGCTCAGAGATTTCTGAGCTTGCCGACGCCAACTTCAGAGCGGCCTGCGTCGGCGGGCCAAAAGCTTTCCGTCTTTCAACCGTCGCCACGACACCCGCAGCATGTCAGGCGATGGTTCCGTGCTCAGAGGCCCTCGACAGTCTCTATGGGCCTGTTCGCACTGCACTCGCACTGCGAATTGGGCCTGCCGTATCAAATGTCTATGCGGTGCTGCTGCTCCTCAGCGTGTGGTGCAGGCAGCGAGGAAGAGCGCCAAGGAGTGGGAGAAGCCGTCGCCTAGCAATGCCCCGCGGGGGCCGAGTGGGCGCTGGGCGGCGGGCCCGCCTCCAGACCTCGTCAGGCAGATCGCCCAGGCCCTGGACAAGCGTCTTGACCAGCGGCTCAAGGCTGCGGGGGTGCAGCAGGACTCAGCGGCAACTGGTGGCGCTGCTCACGGTCAGTCTACTTATCGCTCAGATGCTCCCGACGATGTGCGTGCAAGCAGGATCGAGTCCTTGGAGAATGCCCTCAATCAGATGGAGCAGGTCGACGAGTCTGATCCAGCGAAGAAGTGCTTGCAAGATCAGCTGCGCGAGGCCCGTGCCGCCCAGCGCAGCAGCAGGCCGCTTCTTCAACAACATGCCAACGCTGCCTTTCGACTCCAGTCAGCACAAAAGAAGCTCGAGAAGGCCAAGGCTGCGGTGGTGGCTCATCATGAGTTCATCACGAAGGCCCAGGCTGCCCTTGCTGACATGGTCGAGAGGGAGAACGCCATGCAGCGCGAGGTCGATGCCCTCGCTGTGGGGCTGCGCAGGACGATGCCCGTTGCGGCGGAGCCTGCGCCTGGCCCCATCCTCTCGCAGGAAGTCCTGGACGCGAACGCTGATGTCAAGGATTTCTTGCAGAGCCCGTTGTTCGCGAAGTA